GCCGGAACAACTCCCGGCAGGGAGGGCTCGGGCCGGACCCCGAGCGCTGCGGCGCCGCCGCCTCCATCGCGGAACAGGGCAGATCCGCTCCTGGGGGAGGGAGTACCTAGTCACCAACATATCCTGCCGCCGGGAATCTTCTCTTAGGCAGTACCCGAAAGAATTAGCTTCTACACAGGCAAAAGGCAAAAAACCAAACCCAACCAAGCAACCCACACAAAAACCGGAGTAAGAAACAGATATTGAATGAAACCAGTCTAACATTTTATTTATTGCATACAAAAGGATCTCTTTTTGACAATGGGATTTTATATGAAAAGTAATTTGATGCATACTGTGGAGAATCTTATCTTCAAAGATGCTGCAGAAAACTTAAGGCAATGCATCTAAGCATATAAAGCACAGTAAGTGGTGGAACTTTTCAAAATCAAAAGCCTATTATTATTCCTTCCCTTAAATTATAGTTAAAGTCACAACTTTCCGGAACAGAATCAGGCTGCAGCTTTATTAGCCCTGCAATAGCACGTAGGATCAGAACACGGATTCCTGGCAAATACCTAAGTGTTCAACATCACATTACAATGTTACACATACATTTAAAAGCCAGACAATACCAGTAGCAGTTATAAAACAAGTCAATTCATGGACCACCAAAATACCTCTAGTACCAGGCACCCAAGTCAGGTGCACGTAAGATTTCCTAGAAAGTATTAAAAAACCATAACCAGAACCCAACAAAAAACTCCTGACCCACACTTGTGCTGCTTTGTCCTGTGAGGAAGCCAAAACAGATTCTATCACCTACCCAAGGTCTCAGTTATTTCAGAGGCCCTGTTTTTTGTCCTATGTCTCTCAAGTGTCTTCTTGGAAACTTTTAAAAGTGAGTATCATCAGACTTCAAGCATCCCTTCTTTCAGAAGTCACTGAAGAAGAGAAAGTGTCTGTTCAGTTACTTTTAGTCATTTTTACCAATGCAGCTTCAATGTCATTCTCACTTTCAAGTTTCCCACAGCCATCATCTTCAAGAAGCTTTAGCATGAACCATGTCAGGTTTTGAAGCGGTCAAATTATGTGTTACCTCTTTGCCATATCCCCCGTTGTACAAACACAAGTGGTTTAAAATTCAGTTTTAGCAATGCAATTAAGCTTGAAAATGTCCACTTAACAAACGTGCTGGAATAAAACTTCTCTCCACTCAAAGCCTCAGTGCCAGAGGTGTTAAGTTTCTTGTCAGCAATAGACACAGCACTGGCAAATGCTACTCCTAACAGATTAAAAAATAAAAGGGAAGCAGCTATATCAGACAAAAACAGGCATCAAATTAGATAATATTTATAAATGGATCGCTTTTTTAGTGTAAACATAACATTTCACCTTCTAGGTTTACTGTAAACCATTTTATGTTTAAGCTGATGATTAAAGACAAAGACAAGAGAAACTGAAGGTATTTATTATTCAATCCACTTACAAAGCAGGTGGCTTAATGCAAGCTTATTGACATGTTCATCTATGATCCCCGAGGAACACCTTTTCCAAAGTGACAGCAAAACTGTCTCAATGTTTTTGCACATTTGCATTTTGCAACCTTGAGCACATTTAAATAAACTAGATTCTATCATACGTGAAAGAATGTTGATGAACAACTTGAATCCTGATGTGGACTAAAACCTCCTCCAAAGGCGAAATGTCAGTACCTTATAACTTAATTCTATATACTATATTACGCAGCAAATCTTAACTATAGAAAATATTTCAATCAGTGATGGACTGTTGGTAATTTATAAAGAGAGAATCTATGATCAAGGCAAAAACTAGGTAACCACATAATTTGTGTCTCAGTTTCTACAGAAATTTACAAGCTTTCAATTTGCTAATGAAAAATAAAACAAGAGACAACTGGATTTAGCTAACTTTATTAACTTTAAACGAGTAAAAATCCCAGGACAAGCCCGGAATCCTTAGAAGTTCTATGAATGCATGTATATCTGCCAAAAACCCCCAAAAAATAATAAAAAAGAAACCAAAAACACAAAAAACCCTGCAGCTCTAAGTCCTTACTGAATGTTTTTGTATTTAAAAAAACAAACCAAAAACCAAACAAAACCCCCTCTCAGTGTACGCAGATACTTCAACTTAAGTTAGCAGAATACCAAACAGATTCTAAGGTCTTTTTCCATTTCTCTAATAATTCTTTCAATCTGCAAGTATCTACAACCCACCTAACTGATATCAACATTTAGTGTTCACTAGAGCTGTTTCACAGCAGCAAGTATTTAAGTTAGGAATTCAAATTTCTAGACACAGGAAGGAAATGATAAATACAATCTGAACAGCAGTCTAAATGTTTAATATTGACATTCAAATATATCTGCATTGTGCTAAAATTTTTAAAATGAACACAAAAATCTGGTCAAAAACTCTGGTGATGAGTTTGCTAATTGTATCAATCTGAATATATTTAATATTCTGTTCCCAGTATTAAGGATGTTATTTGACTCAGAACTGATATTGTACATATACAGCAGCCATTTTTTCCTAATTAAGGAATGTCTCAATACATAATATTATCCTTTTCTAGATGATCTTTATACATTTAAACTAAAATATATGACCGATTAAATTAAGGAATTCAAGGTTAGTTAGATGACTGAAATCATACTTTCAAAGCTCAATACTATGTAAAACAAACAAACAAAAAAACAAAACAGGGACCATACAATTCTACTTACTAAAGCAGCTAATCTTGCCTGCAAGTTTGGGGTCACAAAGCCCATAATATGTGCAAACAAATGCAATACAAGGAACCATGCAAAAATACAGTAATGAATTAAAAGAAAAAATGTAAAACCTAAAAAAAAATATTTTATAAATACACTGAACTCAACTGTCTTCTACATAAACTGTAGGTCTAGCACTAGTTGTACCATGTAGCAGAGCCAGCACTCTAGGGTCAATGCTTCCAAATCTGCGCAGGTAAGTCATGCCATCTTTGGTTGACTGCAGTACCAGGAAGGATGAGAGGGAAGGAGAGGGAGGAGAAGAGTTCTGGAAAGCAGTGTCAACTTTCACTAGGAAGCTGAGCCTCAATGTCCACTCTGCAAATGGGGCACTTCTTGTTAGTAATCAGCCACTGGTCTACACATACTTGGTGGAAAAGGTGCATACATGGAAGGCGCCTGTCATCAGAAAGAAAAACATGAGTGTTAATAAAGCATTTGTCTAGTTCCAAAAAGAAATGGGTAAGGGGAATGCAGTCAAGCTTATCAGCTGGCTTCTGCTGTATGACACTGGCTTAAACCTGCTATAGCTTATGTAGCATCACTCCAGAAGAACTAAAATTAACAGTCCTGATTAATTAAGGGTATCAGCTTGGGTACATGTTATGACAAACAGTCAACTTCTTAAAGACCCTAAGAAAAGAACCTACATTCTACCCAACAACCACACAGACTGAACAATGTGTGCTTTCAATGGCAGCTTGGTTTTTGTGTTGGTTCAATGACAGATTGTCTTTAATTGCAGCTTTTAACCTAGGAGTACTGTGAAGAGTAGTATGCCATAGTCAAGTATGATCTCAAAGCCAGAACATTAACATTCTGATACCCAGTGGTACTCCTTACCTGACATCTTCACCTTCCTCCAATATGGACAAACAGATGGTACACTTTTCCTCTGTATCTTCTTCTGTTCCTTCCTCCCCATCTTGTTTGCAGTGCAGTTTCCTCTGTGAGAACCAATCAGTTGTTACCTTGTTAGTAGAGATGACATTATTGACAAACTGAGTAAAATCTGTTTTTAATACATATTCAACACATTCTACTTTGAAAACATTTAATGATATTTATTCAAATACATTTGAACCAAAATGAATCAAGAACTAGCACTTGGAGCAAAATCACAGGATATTTCAGATTTATTTAACTATTGTTAATTACAAAAGTCTACTGGACTGTGACTATTAATTTCATATTGTTGCAACCAATCCTTTTACTTCTTGTCTACGTATAAATAGCTTCATTTCATTCACGAAGAGGCAAAAAAATTCCTTTGAGACACTTAAATTGCCCAAATTCTGTACCAGATCTAAAACTTCTAGTGTACCACAGTCTTACTAATGTGGTCAAAGTAAAGGTTAAAATGATGCACACCAAGTAGGTAAACATCATGGACTGTAAAATTAACTGTAAAAATAAAGTCTTACTTTTTCTTATGAGTTCCCACCAAAGTCTGTTGACAACTTAGCTATTGCCAATAGTTATTGCATTGCTCACAAGACTATTCATAACAACCGGACAAGTTACTAAATCATATCAAAACACTTTTGTTTATCACATTACAGTGATACTAGCTCTTTATCTAGGAACCAAATTCTTAACTTCATTTTCTTTGTGAAAGAAGTGGCATTCTAAGCTTTGTTTACATTGTAAGCTTTGCTTACAATCCTTGAAACTGCAAGGTACAGAAAACATGCACTCCTTGAAGCTGACATTTCTGCAGATTTAAGCTAAACATAAACTTTATTACACTTTCTAATAAATAGTACAGGCAGGCCACACTTTGAGAAATCCTCACCTTTTTGTATTTATGTGGGTATGTGCATCTTTCTATAGTTCCCTGTGTTGCTCCACGATTAACGTTGCCTAATCGTTCCTCCAAGTGAATCAGCTCCTAAAAAATTGTCAAGGAATAAACAGTGTAAGGACTGTTATCTCAATTACATTAAGAATATTTTAATTTTATTCTAACCCATTTGCAGAATGACAAACTCTCAATTTCCAACTTATTCAAACACAGGCAAAACAAAAAAGAGTATGTTGGGTGGGAAAAGTGATTGATTTCAGTAGAAAAAAGAACACAACATTGTCTGGTGTTTTCAGGTACAGGGAAACACTATTTTACTACTGAAAAAATAAGGAATTGTTTGTCAGCTAGGAATGGTTATCAGTATGTTCACATGTACTTGCACATTTAACAATGAAAATGCAATTAAAATGCACTACATAAATATTTGCTTTCTAACAGTCATTAAGGCTTAGAAGCAAAAATATTGCTAAAGCTGAAATAGAATGACTAATTTTTCTCCAGCAATGAGTTTATTAGAACCATGAGATGTCACTGAAGATGTTTTCAGTGGACTAGGTCATTAACTCTCTGCATCTGATACCTTTTGCTTTCTCCTTTTTTTTCCTTCCCTCAGCTTCAATTCTTGCTCAGGACAGCACTGTTAAAGCTGCCAAGTTTCACCCTCATTAGAGGAGGATCCTGGCAGTTACTGAGAGACACCACTACTTTTCACAGACATATTGTGTGAATACTACATCCTAGTAACCAGGCTGGTGGGCAAAGCAAGATGTCCTGTCAGTTAATAACCACCTAAGCCTACCGTGTCCAGCACCTTTTATTGACTGACTTTTCAAGATGCTTTTATCCCAGTTCACAATAGTGAGGTCATTCTATTAAAAAAGGGTATTTTCTTTATGATCCTTTACATCTATAAATGGAACTAGCTCTATCATACACCCTCCCCATATTCCCTCAGGACACATTTTGACATACATCTAGTTTTATTCTATTACAAACCTCAAAATTGCCCCTGAAAGGGCCTCTGAATGATGTTCCATCCAATCCCGATGAAATGTAACGGATGTGAGGGTAGCCCGCCATGTCTGGTACCTATTCAAACAGCAGACGTTCAGTTAAACCTATTCAGAACAGTTTCAGTATTTTACTGTTCACTTTGTAAAATTTAAGATCCTTGTGATTTTATTCAATCACTTATTATTTACACTCCTCAGCTTTAGCATGCAATTCCAACTGACAGAAGAACACACCACCACTCTGAGCTCTCTTAACATAACCAAAAGCAAAACAGAAATGAGTCTGGACCCTCTGTTACAATCTCTCCACATCTGCACTACACATTGCTTGGTCTCACTTCCCAAGTCTCAACATCTCAACCCACTTTGTATAAACTGCCATAAATGTCTACCTTCTTTTTGTAAACAAAAGCAACCTAAAAGCTATGCATGAAGTTATGA